GTACCCCTACCTCCTCTATCCTTGCAAACTTCTAGTTGCCCCTATTGGCAAACCCTGACAGAGAACCAGCCTGCCTGCAAAGCAGACAGTTTGCAGTGTCTCAGCTCAAGAATAGAAAGACATGGTCCACTTTAGTTCATTCATTCATTCACCAAACATTTTTTTTTTAGACAGGGTCTCACTCTTTCGCCCAGGCTGGAGTGCAGTGGCATGATCTCAGCTTACTGCAACCTCCGTCTCATGGGTTTAAGCGATTCTCCTGCCTCAGGCCTCCCAAGTAGCTGGGATTACAGGCGTGTACCACCACAGCCAGCTAATTTCACCAAATGCCTACTATATTATGGCCACTGGTGAGCACTGAACAAAATAACAAAGTGTCTGCTTTCGAAGTTGACATTTTTGTAGGGTGAGGCCAAATATAAGTAAATAGACAAATATTTAATATTTGAGGTGGTAAAAAGGGCTTTGAGGAGAAATAAATAGAGTGATAGGGTGGAGTGAGATGGAGCCAGAAGCAGTAGAGATGCAGGCAGCGTAGACAAAGCATGAACAGAGGAGCCACACTGTCAACACCTGAGTTCTAGCTCTGCTTCTTACTAACCTATGACCTCAGGCAAGTGACTTATTTCTGTACCTCAGTTACTTTGCGTGCCAGATGGAGATAATGGCAAAGATGAAATAAGGGATCTCTATTACGTGGTTAGAATAATATGTGGTGCATAATAAGTTCCATATTGTTAAAGAGTGGTATCATATAATGACAAAGAATACAATGAGTCTAGATTGGGAGGAGGGAGAGGGTGGCTATAGTAAAGAAAGAGATAAAAGGTAGGGAAACGGTAATGAGGAACAAAGGAGACCTGAACTCCAGGCCAGTTTTATATGAGGGATATAAAAGAGAAAACAGCTAAGCCTGAGAAGTCTGAGAGGGAGGCAGAGTCTTCAAGGGAGAGTCAGGTTTAAGCCACATTCAGAAAAGAGGCTGAGGATACTGTGCTGTAGAATCACATGATAGTGGATGCATAAAGGTGTGCAAGAAGTATTTGCCAGTTACTACCTTACTTTTACTAAATAAAATTGCTGTGATTAGAATGATAATAGTTTCCTGATGGTTAAAAAAAAACAAAACATTTATTATTAGTGATCATATAATTTCTATAATACTGTCTAGTTTACAAAATATTTTCACATCTACTATGTTATTGCTCATAATAAATTTGTGAAGCTGAGACAATATATATTCACAATGAGAGTGAAGACATGGGCAAACCTAGTATTAGTCCAATAATTCTCAAATTTTAATAATTGCTAGGAGAGCGAATATATCTACTGAAAACTTAAAATAAGGCTTTAGGGAAAATATGTTGTAGACACTAAGATGTCTTCCATTGTATATGTGAAACAGTAGATAGATTCTGAGTTTCTGATGTTTCCAAATTTTAAAAAAAGGCTTTTTGGTAGAGGAATATACTAGTTAAACCACAAAGTACCTAGACAGTGGATCCCTAACGGCCCAATCACAAGGCTGCTTTTCAGAGTTCCGACTGTATTGGAAAACAGCTCTTAAAATGTGGCCATTCTGCATTCTTGTCAACACACTGAAACCTCAAGGCAACACAGAATCAGAGGCCTGTCTACTGCTCTTTCACCCAGCTGTCACTCCCAGTATAATTCCAAGGGACTCCAGGGACTTCCAACAGGTACTTTATATAGATCCAAATGCCACAATACTATCTAAAAATAGATTTTTAGGAATTCCAAAATGCCACAATACTATCTAAAAATAGATTTTTAGGAATTCCAAAATGCAGCAATACTATCTAAAAATAGACTTTTAGGATAACAGAATTGGAATTAGTTTCCTAGCGTGACACAAGATCTTAAAGAACTCTCATCTAGTCTCTCATGCTATTGATTTGAACAATAAAGGTGAGTGAAATAAAGTGACTTACTTAAGGGTGCACAGATTCACAGCTACATAGTGACGATGGTAGGGCTACATTTCTGGTGTCCTAGATACTGAGCCCAACGTTCTCATTCAGCTCTACATGCTGCCTTAATATTATTGGGAGAATGATACAGGAAAGGGAAGCAACCTGGAATCAAAACCTATACAGGAAAAGAAATATTGGTGGTGAGAACATGTCTTACAGATGCATATGACTAGTGCATTTAATCATTGTGTAACATGCACACATATTCTGCATATGTCTCAAATGGCGGGACTGAAAATTTTAATTTCTACCACTTACTCTATTTATAGGCCCTGCAGTTGAATTGATTTGTAAAAACTCTGAAGATGACTCCATTTTCCAAGTCTTGGTATTCCCTCAAGCCCATCACAAAGCTGGGCCCACAATAGTTACTAATAACTGCTTCCTATGTAGCTGATATAACACTTGCCAAAATATTCACCTTTTGATTATGAAAATTATTTTTAATTTTTTCTTCTTTAACAAAGCAACATTTAGAGTTATTCTAAAACTGTCTACTGATATATAGATTTTATTTTAAAAACAATTGTTTTACTCAGCCGTTTTTTAGCAAAATTCATAATTCAAAATTACAATTTAGATTAATATATAGTAACACATTTAAAGTTATGAAGCTTCGTTTCATGAAAGATTGAAGAAAACAAAGATTATTCTACATGAAATGCCACATAAAGCAATTTAGCAGACTTGAAAGCAAGAAAGGGGAGGGAATGTGTGTAAAGAACTACATAGGAATGGAGCACTTTCAGTTTCTATGGTAACCAACATAAATGAATACTGTTTTGGAAAATGTACTAGCAAAGTCAGCGAGATATAAATTGATGAACACAAAAGCCAAATACCCTATTCAATCCTATGGTGTAAGTCCACAGTTGGCCTTTAAATGGAACTATAATTTTTTTTTTTAAGCCCTATTGCTAACTGGTCTGTTCAAAGGATTTTTTCCTTAATTTGCTATTCTGCCTTCTAGATATTTGTCTACTACACAAACGTTTATCAATAACTAGAAATTACTTTTTTATTGCTTGCTGGATCATTGATTACAACTCTAGTACAGAAGGCAATAAGAACATAATTGCCTAACAATCCCTTCTTCTCAACTGGGTGTGGTAAATTGACTCCAGAGACCAGGACATACAACACGGTAACTTTTTCAAAATTAACTGAAATATTAATAATAAAACAAAAAAGGTGAGATGTGTGTATGTTATTTACTTTTACCTTAGCGAGTAAATCCTCTTTGTTGTAAAAACTACACAAAATGTATGTTTTCAGTTTTTCAAATGAAGAGAGAGGACTATGTTAGGTTATCTTCAGAGACAGAGCAAAACCCATTACCCTTGTACCCTGTCATTCTTCTGACTAGTGTATGCTTAGCCTACTTGGTATAATAAAGATGGTGAAAGATTATACAATTTATACCCATTTAAACAAATATACTTTATTCCCTAAGTAACTGATGACTTAAATAAGACATTTATCTAAAGAATAAACTTCCTGTAATCACGTGTTACAGTGATGAAGAGAGCTATCTAGTTATTTCAACATTTCACGTAAAATTGTCATGAAAAGGAAAAAATTTCACAATGTAAAATGCAAAATACGTTCATTGAATACTTGTATTATTAATATCATTGAGTTGTCTAGAAATCAGTGTCTTTAAGCCTACTGAGTTTGATTTTCAACACACCAATTCTCTTACTCCAAATGTTTATTCCAATGCTTTAAGAAGTAAGAAATGCTATCTAAATGCTGGATATCTGTATATTGACCTACTTTGATGAAATGGTGATGCTGCTTCCTTCAGCCTCATATTGTAAAATGTTCTTCCTATATCATTCACGGTTATGATGTAATAAGATTTTTAAAATATGTAATTATTAATATTCATCTGATTCCATAATGATGTTACTGATAGAGACTATGTACAGACTAATAAGACCAAAGTCAAAATGATTGATCTTTCCAAAAGTTATTTTTTATTTTCTATTATTTATCAAGAAACACTATACGAGGTGCTGGAAATGTAAGGACGAGTAAGATGCCCTGCTGTCCAGGAAATCACAAGCTAGCAAGAAAAAGGAAAAAAATTACTATAAAAATAATGTGGTTGCATAAAAATTCAGTAATTCAAAGAAAAAATTCAAATTAAAACAAGTTTTCAAAATTCATATTATAATGCCTACCACTTTGTGTTGAAATATTTTTCTAGATTTGAAATTTTTAATTTTCCAAAATTGATATTTGTGGGAAAGGAATCACTGACACTCTGAAAGTTTAATATGAGCTATAGTTAGAAAGAAAACTTCAGACAAATTAAATTTAGCAGAGTTTATTTTAGCAAAAAATTATTCATGGATCAGGCAGCACCCTGAACAAGTTGAAGCTCAAGGAGCTCCACCCATCAGTGTAGACAAGCAATATTTGCAGATGGAAAAAGGAAGTGATGTACAGAAACAGCATGGTTGATTACAGCTTCATATTTGGGCCTTATTGGGCCTGGTGTGATGAGGCATTTGCTTTATGCGGACATGGCCTGATCAGTTGGCAGCCTGTGATTTGCTGAAGCCCAGCTACTATGATTGGCTAAGACTCAACTACTTGTTACAAGAATATATTCTTAAGTTAGGTTGCAGTTTGTTTACATACTAAGATAGGTTGCTTTTTGCTACTTCCAGAGGCAGCTTTAAGCCAAATTTAATTTAATAAGGCAGTTTCAAATATATGTGAGGCAATATATATGGAATTGCTCTCCATGAAGTATTTAGAATGAGCCTTTTTCTAGTGTCTGGAGAACTTTATACAGTGTTAATATAATTAAATTATATATAATTAAAATTTTTTATATAAAAATACCATTTATTCATATATGTTAAGATATAGAAAGCTTATCCTTTTCTTCAATAAAACCACATTAACTATACTGGAAAGAAAATTTTTGGCCTTACATGGTTTCTATAATTTTAGTATTTCAAAGATGACATTATTTATTGTGTTATATTACAGAAAAGTAAAGATGTTTCTAGAAGGCACCAGGAGCTCTGTCTGCACTGAGCACCATGAAGTTCACTTGCATTGAGTTCTGATTTTACAACACTGACTCCCAGACCAAAAGATAACTTTTTCTCTCCAATCTATGTTCCAGGCAAACCAATAGACTCCAACTGTCTCCCAGCCATCTATAGCAAAGACACTTTGTCCAAAACTGAGTATCATGAAATACTTAAAGTGCTTTTCCAATATTCACTATGTTTGGGAAACATATTAAAAATAGACAATAAAAAATTTTTGCTGTGTTTTTTATTCTTAAACATGTAGCACACAGGGCTGAACAGTAATGAATATTACATGTTACCAACTTCAATTTTAATTATTGTTAATTTTGTCCTTCTGGGTGGACATGGATAGTATTGAACCACTTTGTAGATATGAAGATTGGTTTGAAAATTTGGGCCACTTTGGTACAATGCAATTTGTCAGTTTCCCTAAAGACTTGTTAGGCATGATCTAAAATCACACCTAAAGGAACTAGAAAACAAGAATAAACTAATTCCAAAGCTAAAAGAATAAAGTAAATAACTAAAATCAGAATAGAACTGAATGAAATTGAGACCCAAATATTGATACAAAGAATCAACAAAACCAAAAGTGGGTTCATTGAAAAGATAAACAAGATAAATAGGCCACTTGCTAGATTAACAAAGAAAAAAAGAGAGACTAGATCCAAATAAGCACCATCAGAAATGACAAAAGTGACATTACAACTGATCCCACAAAAATACAAAACATTCACAGAAACTATTATGAACACCTCTATGCACACAAACTAAAAAGTCTAGAGAAAATGAAAAAATGCCTGAAAATACACAGTCTCTCAAGATTGAATCAGGAAGAAATTGAAAGGCTGAACAGACCAATATCAAGTTCCAAAATTGAATCGGTAATTTAAAAACCTATCTACCATCTCACACCAGTTAGAATGGCGATCATCAAAAAATCTGGAGACAACAGATGCTGGAGAGGAGGTGGAGAAATAGGAATACTTTTACACTGTTGGTGTGAGTGTAAATTAGTTCAACTATTGTAGAAGACAGTGTGGTGATTCCTCAAGGATCTAGAAACAGAAATTCCATTTGACCCAGCAATCCCTTTACCCAAAGGATTATAAATCGTTCTATTATAAAGTCACACGCACACGTATGTTCATTGCAGCACTGGTTACAATAGCAAAGACCTGGAACCACCCCAAATGCCCATTGATGATAGACTGGACAAGGAAAATGTGGCATATATACACCATGGAATAATATGCAGCCATAAAAAAGGATGAGTTCATGTCCTTTGTAGGGACATGGAAATGTAGGAATTTGGAAACTGTCATTCTCAGCAAACTGACACAAGAATAGAAGATAAAACACCACATGTTCTCACTCATAGGTGGGTGTTGAGCAATGAGAATACATGGACACAGGGAGGGTAGCATCACACACTGGGGTCTGTTGTGGGGGGGGGCTATGGAAGGGACAGTGGGGGGTAGGGAGGTTGTGGAGGGATAACAGGGAGAATTGCCAGTTGTAGGTGATGGGGGGGATGGAGGCAGCAAACCACCTTGCCATGTAAGTACCTATGCAACAATCCTGCATGATCTGCACATGTACCCCAGAACCTAAAGTACAATTAAAAAAAAAAACCTATCAGTGAAAAAAATCCCTGGACCAGATGGATTCACAGCTGAATTCTACTAGGTATAAAATAAAGAGCTGGTACCAATTCTACTGAAATTATTCAAAGAAAAAAAAAATTGAGGAGGACAGACTCCTCCCTGACTCATTCTACAAAGTCAGTATCACCTAGATAACAAAACCTGGAAAAGACACAACAACAAAAAAAACTAACATAGACACAAAAATCATCAAGAAAATAATAGCAAACTGAATTGAATAGCACATCAAAAAGTTAATTCACCACAATAAAGCAGGCATCATTTCTGAGATTCAAAAATTGGTTCAATATATGCAAATCAATAAATATAATTTGCCACATGAACAGAAATAAAAACAAACCCATATTGAGATATGATTATCTCAATAGATACAGAAAACCCTTTCAAAAAAAAAATCCAACATCCTTAATGATAAAAACCCTCAAGGAACAAGGCATCAAAGAAATGTACCTCAAAATAATAAGAGCTATCTGTGACAAACCCATAGCCGACATCATACTGACTGAACCAAAAGTAGAAGCATTCTCCTATAGAACAGAAATAAGACAAGGGTGTCCACTCTCACCACTCCTAATCAAGATAGTACTAGAAGTGCTAGCCAATCAGGCAAAAGAATGAAATAAAAGGCATTCAAATAGAAAAAGAAGTTAAACCATCTCTGTTCACTGATGATATAATCCTATACAGAGAAAACCCTAAAGACTCTGACAAAAGGCTGTAACAACTGATAAATGATTTTATCAAGATTTCAAATGCAAAATTCAATATACAAAAAAAAAGTAGCATTTCTATACACCAGTATAGTTCAAGCCAAGAGCCAAATCAAGAAAGCAATTTTATTTAAAATAGTCACAAAAAACAAAATAAAATATCTGGAATACATAAAACCTAGGAGGTAAAAGATCTTTATAAATAGAACTACAGAACACTGCTAAAAGAAATGTAGATAACATAAACAAATGAAAAAATATCTCATGTGCATGGATTGAAATAATATCATTAACATGCCCATACTGCTCAAAGCAATCTACAGAGCCAGTGTTTTTCCTATCAAACTACCAATGCCATTTTTCACAGAACTGCTAAAAACTATGCCAAATGTATATGGAACCAAAAAAACAAAAGAGAGCCTGAATAACCAAAGCAATCCTAATCAAAAACAACAAACCCAGACGCATCACATTTAGCTTCACACTACTCTATAAAGCTATAGTAACCCCAACAGCATAGTACTGGTTCAAAAACAGACACATAGGCCAATGGAACAGAATACAGAATCCATAAATAAAGCCATACACCTACAGTCATCTGATCTTTGACAAAGTTGACAAAAATAAGTAATGGGAAAATAATTCCTTATTCAATAAATGGTATGGGAATAGCTGGCTAGCTATATACAGAATGAAACTGGACCTATATTTTATCATATACAAAAATTAACTCAAGATGGATTAAAGATTCAAATGTAAGGCATCAAATGAAAACCAAACACTGCATATTCTCACTCATATGTGTGTATTGAGCAATGAGAATACAAGGACACAGGGAGGGGAACATCACACACTGGGGCCTGTCAGGGGGTGGGGGGGCTAGGGAAGGGATAGCAGGGGATACAGTGATAGAAGAGGGATAGTATTAGGAGAAATACTTAATGTAGATGACAGGGTGAGTGATGGATGCAGCAAAGGATCAAGGCACATGTATACCTATGTAACAAACCTACATGTTCTGCACATCTACCCCAGAACTTAAAGTATAATTTTTAAAAAAGAAAAAAAAAGAATCCTAGAGAAAAACCTAGGAAATACTATTTTGGACACTGGCCTTGGGAAATAAGGGAAATAATTTGTGACTAGGTTCTCAAAAGTAATTGCAACAGAAACAAAATTGACAGGTGAGACCTAACAAACTAAAGATCTTCTTCACAGAAAAAGAAGCCATTAACAGATTGAACAAACAACTTACAGAATAGGAGAATATATTCACAAATTATGCATCAGACAAAGATCTAATATTCAGAATGCATAAGAAATGCAACTAATAGAACAAGCACAAAACAAATAACCCCATTTAAAAATGGGCAAAAAACATGAACAGACACTTCTCAAAATTAGACATACAAGCAGCAAACAAATATAAAAGAAAAAATTTTCAACATAACTAATCATCAGAGAAACATGAATCAAAACCATAATGAGATACTATCTCATACCATTCAGAATGGCTACTAATAAAAAGTCAAAAACAACAGATGTTGGTGAGGCTGCATAGCAAAAGGAACATTTATACACCATTGGTGGGAAGATAAATTAGTTCAGCCACTGTGGAAAGAATTTTGGAGATTTCTCACAGAACTACCATTTGACCTAGCAATTCTATATACTAGGTATATACCCAAAAGAAAACAAATTGTTCTACCAAAAAGACATGTACTCTCATGTTCATTGTGGTACCATTCAAAATAGCAAAGACGTGGTGCCCATCAATGGTGGACTGGATAAAAAAATGTGTTACATATATACCACAGAATACTATGCATCCACGATATTTCCAGCAACATGGATGCAGCTGAATACCATTATCCTAAGTGAATTAACACATGAACAGAAAACCAAATACCACATGTTCTCACTTATAAGTGGTAGCTACACATTGGGTACTAATGGACATAAAAATGGCAACAATAAACACTGGAAAGGTGTTTCTCTCTAGAGGTGGGAGAAAAGGAAGGGGGCAAGGGTTAAAAAAAAACTAACTGTTGGATAACTTGTTCAGTACATGGATGACATGATTATTCCTGCCCCAAACTTCAGCATCACACTATACACCCAGGTAACAAACCTGCACGTGTACCCTCTGAATCTATAATAAAAGTTAAAAAATAAGGAAAAAACAAAAACAACAAAAAACAGTTGTTAGCATGGCTCCTTCCTTCTTGGTTAATCAGTATACCCCTATGTACTGGGCTTCAGTGGAGAGTTTGGAGATAGTGTTCTACTCCACTATCCTTGCCCATATATTCACACTTTCTGGAGCTCTTTGTTCCTCTCTTTAGATCTATATTCCCATCTGACATCATTGTACTTCTGCCTGAAGACTTCCTTCGACATGTCTTAAAATGCTCATGTGTTCACGATTAATTTTTTCAGCTTTTGCTATAGCCTGGAAACTGAAGAAAATATACTGAGGCATGGAGTTCAGCTTTTCCCTTCTCATCATTTGTTTCCCTTTTCTCAGGAGTTTCTGCCCTATGTTGCATATTGTTAAAGGTCTGAAAACAGTCCTTTGATGTATTTTGTCTGTTTTTGTTAATGTTATTTAAGGCAGGAGGGTAAATCTGGTTTCTGTTACTCTATCATGGCCAGAAGCAGAAATCTTACTGTTTCAGAGACAAAAAAAAAAAGTATCTGACTTTCTTTTTTTCCAGCTTTATGAAGTGCAATTAAAAAATAAAAATTGTATACATTTAAGATGTACAATGTCATGTTTTGATATACCTACACATTGTATAATGAGTATTATAATCAGATTAATTAAGACATCCTCACCACAAAGTTACCCTTTTGTGTGTAGAGGAAGGATGGAGTGTGAAGACACTTAAGATCTACTGTCTTCACAAATTTCAAGTAAAGAATACAATAGTGTTAACTGTCGTCACCATGTTTT